CGCCTCGGCCTCCCAGAGTGCTGGGATTACGGGCGTGAGCCACCGTGCCCGGCCTGGACCCAGCTAATTTTTAAAAACTTTTTTTTATAGAAATGGGGTCTGGTTGTGTTGCTCAGGCTGGTCTCAAACTCCTGTTTGCAATCCTCCCACTTTGGCCTCCCAAAATGTTGGGATAACAGGCATAAAAACCACATTTCCTGCCCTTGTTTTCAATGTGCCTCACAGCAGAGTGGTTATGGAATCAGGTGAGACTAGGCTGAAATCCTAGCTTTCTTACTTGTGTGACCCAGCTAAGTAATAACCTCTCTCTAAACCTGTTTCTTTACAACCATGCCTACCTTTTATGGTAGCTGTGGGTATTAAATGAGACACTGACCTTAGCAAAGAGCCTGGCACACAGTAAATATTTAATACTTTAGCAATTATTATTAAATTTTGAAACAAATGTGACATAAAGCAGTATTTTGACTTTTTTTAAATTTAGGCCCGAAGTTTAGTATCCCTTTACTTGTTAAAGTTCAGACTGAGAAATAAAACATAATGTTCCTACAAACAAACATTTTACTAAGGACAATTGGACTAAGTAAAAATAACTAGTATTATGCAAGTGTAATTGCCATAGGCAGAATCTAGTTTATAAGAATAATTCAAGTTGTATTATCTCAAATTATCTGTTATAAAGTAATTGTCTCCATCAATTTTTTCCTCTCCTACTTCTGTAAATGCTAAAGAAAAAATAATCACACTATGAAAAGAATAGAAAGCGAAAGGAACATATAAAGTATAGCTGTATTATCTTAAACTCTAATTAAGAATCAAATACAATTTTAGGGGAAAAATCCACAATGAAATGAGGTAGAAATGGAACACACCAAAGACGATAAAACATCTCTTCCTTCCCAAATATTACAAGACCCACACTTCAACTGGATGTTCAAGGATTTTCCTGTCTCAAGACAAGAAGCTTCCAGCAAGTCCTTTCATTACCACGATCAGATCTCCAGCTAAACTTCAAAGAAAATATATAAAAGCCACTCTGGTGGGCAGCTGTTGAAATAATCACTCTTCGCATCTTCTACAGATTAAAGAATAAAAATCCTGACTTACACATTAAGACAAAATACTGATTATTCTCAGTTTATTTTTTTAATTTGTTCTAGACAGCCACAAAATGTATTGATTTTAAGAGTTCCATAAATATAATTTTGACAGCTAACAAAAATTCAGCAAAAAAGTAATAAATATAAAATTAAAGCTACCTTTATCTCATGTGAAAACAGAAAACCCTAAGTGAATATGCTAATTTCAAATAGTTCTTAAAAGGTAAAAAATAACCCTGTCCTAAGCACTTACATATATTAACTCAATTATTACTCATCATAATCCTATGATAGTTATTATTATAGTCCTCTTACAGATGAACAAACTGAGGCACCAAAAGTCATTAAAAGTTATTAAAGTTAATAACTTGCCTGTGGCCTCACAATCAGTAAATGGTAGGAGCCTGGATTCTGATTCAAGCTGACTCCAGAACTAATGTCCAAATCAACTATATCATTCATTCATTCAACAAGTTTTGCTAAGAACCTATTATGTACCAGGCACAGTTCTAAGCACTGAGAATAAAGCTGTGTACAAGTCAGAGAAGGCCTCTGTCCTCTAGCTGGGAAGAGGGCTGGGAGCAAACAAGTCTAATGGGGGAAATCAATAAATGAGTGAACAGTGTGTATTCACCTACTAATAAACGCGATGGAGAAAAAGAAACAAAGCATCAAAAGTGATAGACCAGCTAGGAGCAGTGGCGCATGCCTATAATCCCAGTGATTTGGGGGCTGAGGCAGGAGTATCACTTGAGACCAGGGGTTCAAGGCTGCAGTGAGCTGTGACTGTGCCACTGCACCCAGCCTGGCAACAGGGGGAGGGGAGGGGAGAGGAGAGGAGAGGAGAGGAGAGGAGAGGAGAGAGGGGGGGAGAGGAGGGGAGGGGAGGGGAGAGAAGGGGAAGGGAGGGGAGGAACTGGCTTCTATTTTCAGGATTAGGGAAGGGCACTCTGAGGTGATGATGTCTGAGCAGCAAACAGAAGATGTGAAGGCAAGAGCCAGGACCACCTAGGGGAAGGAGTGGTCCACCTAAAAGAATAGCAAGTATAACATCCCAAGGTGGGAACAATTTGTTCAAGAACTGGCAAAAGGACTGTAGGCATGGAGTAGGATTATGAAGGTCATGTGGTAAGAGATAAGGTTAGAAGTTGGCACCTGCCAAATCCAAAATGCCCCAATGGGCTATGCTAACAGGTTTAGATTCAAGTGTAATAGGAAGCTTTTGGAGGATAATGAGCAAGAAACTGACAATCTGACTTATGTTTTCAAAAAGATCACACTGATTGTTACGTGGGGAATGGCCAGGGAAAAAGAAATAGAGACATGAGTGAAGGCATTATTGTAACAGTCCAAGCAAGAGAAACTAGAACTTAGATTAGGATTCATGTACTGTTTATATAAACAGACGAGATATTAAAAGAGTCGGCAACCTATTTGCCTGTAAAAAAGACTTTTTAATACCTCTCCTCTCCTCATATCCCCTCCTGACTTGCCTTTGAAAAAAATCGGATTCTTTTTTAATATCCGTATTTCAGTTGGTGCTATTATCATAGGAACAGAATAAAAGATTAAAAAGGTCTTTTCATTTTTAAATGTCCTATTTAATATAGCCTATGACTTATAATACGCCATATATACCCAAACATTCTTGAAAAGCAGAATGAACCATAATGCTCTTTAGACTAGGACTTGTTCATTTATTTGGAGACAAGAGGTACCTACCACCTGTTCTGGTTAGCTTTCCTCTCATGCTTCGTGTCTTAGCATATCCAGGCTCATTCAACATTGTGAATTGTACTAAAGGGGTGTATCGAAGGGAGTATGTATTTATTGAGCATCCACTGTGCACCAAGGTCTAAGTGCCTTACATTTAAGAATGAATTTAAGCCTCAGACACCATTACCCAAGGTAGGAAATGATGTCTTCATTCTACAAACGAGAAAAAAATCACAGATATTAACAACTTGTCCAAGGTCACAATTGGCAGAGCCAGAATTGAAACGCACAGCTAACTCTGAAGTTTCTATTCTTCCACTATAGCAGCTATCAAAGAAAGGACAGTAAAATACATACTATATGCAGTCATTGTAACTTCTCATTAATAATGACTAGTTTATTGCTGATGGGGACAGGCTTCTTTAATTCTCTTATGTAGAATCTGAATTTCGAACTTGGGGGTGGGGGAAAATGGGGTGATCTTACACATTCAAGCACATTATTTTAAAAAATTATTTTCTACTTCAGACTTCATAGAAAATAATCCTAAAAGTGATTCCCAACTTTTAAAAGAAAGTCTTAAATATGTACCATTTATCATAAAATAGAACTAAAGTTCTATGACAAATGACAGGAGTTTGCTAAAGACTATGACCTCAAGGGACTTGCAAAATAAGATAAAAAGAGGATAGCAACAAAAAGATAATCAGGAGCTCGAGACCAGCCTGGCCAACAAGCAAGACCCTGTCTCTACGAAAAATTTAAAAATTAGCAGGTGTGGTGGTACAGGCCTGCAGTCCCAGCTACTGGGGAGGCTGAGGCAGGAGGATCACTTGAGCCCCAGGAGTTCCAGGCTGCAGTGAGCTATGATCACGACACTGCACTCCAGCCTGGTAACAGAGTGAGACCCTACATCTTAAAAAAAAAAAACAAAACAGCATAACACAGGGAAAATGGAACTGAATGTAGACTGGAGAAGGATTCCTGAAGAAGAGGAACTTTAGGTGAGTTTTGAAGTGCCAGCAGAGGAGTACAGGAAGGGAGGGAACACACTATCAGCATTTGTACGGCCAAAGAAAAGTCTATGTTGGAAAGCAGAGACCGCAAGTTTGGAAACAGGTAAAAGGTACCCGCAGTTTAAGTTACCGTGTGCATTACTCCACAGGAAGAGCCAAGATTAGGGTATGTCCTACCTTACCTAAAGAGGAAATCTTATTCTCCAAGACTAAAGTGGACAAGCCAGAGACACCAGGCAGATACAGAGAATTAAGAATTGTTACATAAAGTCCTTAATAGTTACAAGCCCTTTATGGTATGTGTTAGTCTACATTTTCACCTAAATGATACTATTTCTGTTTAATACATGGTTTGAGAAGACGTGAAGGTAAATATAGAACTAGTAGACTTCCATCATCTGAATTTTTTTTAAACAAGGTGGAATCAATTAAGGACTGTTACATTAAGGTTATTTCTTTACAAACTGGGAATAGGTAGGAAGACGAGTAAAACACACGGGCTGAATCATTTTAACTGTGTGGAAGTGTGGACGGTGCCCCGCACATTAAGAGAACAGATAACTAACACGGGGAGTAAGTGAATAAAAATTGCCTTCGGATACTCTGACACAGGTTCCGGGATCCAACGCGGGTGGGAGAAGTCGGGGGTATGGGGGAAATGCTGTGGCAGGAGGCCGGGTAGAGAACGCCAGCGCTTGCCCCAGTCGACGTTCTGCAAATGCTTGTTGAACGAACGCCCCAACGCGCGCACGAATGAATGGCGCGGGAGTGAATGGCCGGCCGAGGCGCCGGCGCAGGAGGAAGGAGTTTGCGGCGCAGTCCGAGCGGGGCCGGCAGGACGGGGGGACCGCCGAGGGAAGGGCCGCGGGCGCGAGGGGTCGGCGCGGCTCGGCCGTGTGCCGGGCCGGGGCTGGCCGCGCCATGGCGGAGGAGGAAGGGGAGGTCACGCGTTACATAACCCGGCAGCTGCTGGCGCGAGGGCCGGGCGCCGCCGGCAGCCCAGGCCGCGATAGGACTGCCCGCGGGGCCAGGGCCGACGCGCCCCTCCCCCGCCCCACCCCGGCGGTCCGCGCTCCGGCCGCCGCCGGGCGGGTCTGCGGTGCCTCTGGAGACGCGTGTCCGGTCCCGCCCCTCCCCCACGCCCGCCGCCGGCCCGGGGGTCGCTCACCTTCCGCGTTACCCCAGACCACCATGCCCGGGCTCGGCCGCCTCCTCCGGCCTCACGGACCCCGGCTCCGCCGCCGCACAGTGTTCCAGCTGAGGACCTGAGAGGTGGGCCGGGGAGAGGCAGTCACACCGCCGCGCCGCGGTCCACGCTCGCGGCGGCCGGCCCTGCGCGCGCTCCGCGGCTGCTCCCCGCCCCTCCCCCTCCGGCGGGCGCGCGCGCTACAGCCCCGCCCCCCGGCGGCCCCGCACGCACGCGCTGGCCCCTCCCACCCCTTCACGCCTGCGGCGGCTGGCGCTGCGCGCGCGCCGTACGAGCCGCATTCCACGCCCGGGCTCGGACTCACCGCCGCGCGGCGCACGCGCTCGGCTCGCCTCCGGCCTGGGGCGACCCCGAACCACGGGCGCGGCGCCTCGGAGCCCCGCGTCGGCCGGCCCGCCCCTCCCGGCCCCGCCCTCCTCTGCCGCCGCCGCCTGCAGGGGCAGCGCCTCGGCGGCACGTGACCGTCTCGCTGGCGGGGCGGAAGGGAACGCGGGGCTTGTCCGCCTCCGGCTCTGCACCCTGCCACCTCCGCCGGCCACCGCCTCGGAGGCGCGTGCTCTCCCTGCAGCGGGTCCCTGCGCCCCGCTGCCCGCACCCGGCTCCGGGCTCCCCCGTCGGGAAGGACACAAGTGCAGGGACTGACCGGGCTTGAAACCCTGGTACTGGCTAAAGAAAACACCAAACACCCGGGTCCCCACCTCAAGCAGTTGATTTACAGTGACATCTAGTGGAGAATGGGACACTCGTGAACTGACACACTGACACTTTCGTATGTCAAGGAGCAATCGAGAAGCACGGCCCGCATAGGTTAGTGGGAATGAACACTGCGCCACTGGGTTTGAGGGCGTCGTTGCCGACTCCCGCAGGGCGCAAACACTATTTTCAGTCCTCTGAGTGCCCGCTCCGCATTGCATCTAGATATTTGTAAACCTATGGCGCGTATCCCGTCCCACATGCGGCAGGGGAAGTTTTACACGAGAAAGCAATTTTCTACTACTGTAAAAAAAAAATTGAATGTTCTGTGTTATATATGCTTAAATAAAATTCTAATTGAGGGCCTCTTAGCTGAAAACAATCGTTCCTTAAGGACCATTTTCCCGCTCTTGGCAGTGTCGGTTTGCCAGAGATTCCACATTGTTATTGTAATAGTCTTTATTGTTGTAATGCACAAACATGACGACAACCTCTATGCAAAGGCTCAACACTTTTTTTCCTCATTCCCTTTCCTGAGGTACTTGAAAAGAGTTTGTAAGTACTTAGGAAATAATCAATATTCTTTTGAAAACTGATTTGCAGACCTGGGACTTGTTTACTGGCAAGACAGAATATTCAAATAGCTCGTTTCTTCTTTCAATCTCTTTCGTTTTTTTGCCATTTTATATATATGCACTTCAACTTCAGTATTCTCGTCGCTAACCTAAGAAATTCAGATTGCGTGTTGTCCTGAGACGTCATAGTTTAAAACAAATGGCATAATTTCAATAGGCTCACAACTAGTTTGCCGACCACAAAATCAGGGTGCCACAGCAAAAGAGTGGCAACTGCTTATTATGTGTTTTTTAAACGTCTGTCTCCAAATGGCAGTATTTCCATCAACAAGAAATGGCAAAACTCGATTTTGAAATTGAAAAATAATCGGTGAACTCTGCAGGAAATGCACCATTGTATTTCAATTTTCTTTTCCACTCTCTCTCCTATTGGAGTCAAGGATCTTCTTCCCCACCCCCCACCCCCATATTTTTCTCAAACAAGAAGCAAGCATTGAGCTAACTAACCTTGGCAATACCTTTGCAGAATATAGTAGAATGGTATTAACTGTGAACTAGTAGGCGGCCTCCAGTAAGGAGGGGGAAAAAATCACGTTGCTCTCTACATAAAATAGAATAAAAAGAGAAATGAAGACTACGTAAATAGAAGGTGTACAAACTCTAGAGTCCTTGGTACAATTTTGCCAAAGTTTTATTTTGGTCCATTCCAGAATATTCTAATGCCATCTCATAATGCTTGAAGGGCCTTTTATTTCTATTCAGTCACCTACATTCATTCTTTCATCCATTTATCTACTTCTGTTTATTCTCATAAGGACTGTCTTTCCTATCTCAGGGGAGCCAGCCTGACCTTTGGATAGGGAAACTGAGATGGCCACCCAGGACCCCCACACTCGAGGGAATGTTTTGGGGCACTGTACCTTATTCTCGTTTCCTGAACTTTATTAAAATTCATTTTTGAAAATTCTGTCATTACTGACATCTCAATGGGCCTATGAAAGTACATACCAGTGACCCTTGTAAGGACAGCCCTGGATAAGGACGGGGCTTCTGATAGCCTTTGCCCTCTGTCTCTATCAGTAAACTCACCTTGGAAACATCCACATCTAGTTTCTCAAATACCAAAAACAGAAAATAACAGCATGAAACTATTTTTAAAAGAGAGAGAGATTTGTACTCAAGTCCCTTGGGTGATGTGCACACAGTAACTCATGTGATTTATTCATAGGGAAGCGCAACGGTGCTGATTGTTGTAAGGCATTCAGCACATTATGCTGAAAGATAAAAGAATAACAAAGGAGACTGAGCTCAAGCCCACAGAAACTTAGATAGGAAGTTGGAAGCAGAATTGGTTCACCAAGACTGAATTCTTTCAAACATGCTATCTTTTTGTACAGAATAAAAAAAGACCATGGACAGGTGTATGTATCCATATTTAAACAGCACAGTTCACAAAATTCAGGATGATTCAGCAATTAGTTACAGTGTGCGTTCTATATACCAGCAACTGTGCCAGACCTTGAGGGTCAAAATACATTTTCTGCCCTCAAATAGCTCGTAGTGTAGTGAGGGAGGCAAATAAGTAAACAGGTATATGCAGTACAGGTTCAGGGCTGCTATCTGAGGGCAATCTATGGAGCATGCAGGAAGGATGGCAGGCAGACTTCCTAGAAAGTGACATCTCAGTAAGGTCTGAGAGACCAGTTAGTTAGGGAAAGGCCACTGCCAGAGGGAGCACCTTGTGCAAAGGCAGAGAAGGGAGGGAGACAGGGAACATTCCAGGAACTGCAGAGTGTGGTTTGCAGAGTGGTGTGGGCTGTGGGGAACAGTGCATGCTGAAAAAGGAGGCTGGAGAGACAAGTGGGGGTCAGAGCATGAAGGACTCCATCAAGTATCTTAATGCGTTTCTACTATATCCTGAGGGTGTGATGAACCATTGAAGGATTTTAAGCAATAAAGTGACTTTAGAAAGTCACTCTGGCTGCTGCATGGAAAATGGGTTTGAGAGGCAGACTGGAGGTCTTGTGATAGTCCAGGTGTACAGATGCAGTCCAAAGAAGGTGTAGAGGGTTAGATTTGACCAGGGTAGGGGTTTTGCAAAGCAATATAATGAAAAAAGAAAAGGGCAAGGAAGTCAAGGGTGTAGGCAAGGGAGGGATTATAATGACTGATCGTGGAATCTAAGCTGAGGAGGAAAGAGGACATGACAAGGGTAGGTAGGAGTTGGTGAAAGATGGCGTCAATGGTTGGGGGTGGCAGGGGCAGGGTAGGTAGGGGTGGAGGGCATTTCAAAGGATTTTTGGAGTTAGGCACTAGTGTTACATTACATGTAATGACAAGATTGCAGAGGGAGCTAGTGGCTGAGACAGAATGGACGACAAAGACTTTGGAAGAGAGAATTTCGAGAATATGACAGACCAGAGTAAAAGAAGGATCATCTTTGTGTATATTGAGATCATCAAGAATAAAGCCTGAAGGGGTTTGGAGAAAGGGAGAGTGAATCAGAACACTATCTTGATGACTCCAGGTCAGAGGATGAATATCATTCGATACACTCAATTCTAACAGAGTGATGATCCCAGGGCAGAGGTTCCCAGACTTTCTCTGTTCATGCATCCTTACTGTCTCAGTGGTTTGTTTGTTTTTACGGCATCCCTTGGCCAAAGGAAATACCTAACGATTTTGCATATTAAATAGGTAGAGCCATAAAACTTATTTGTGAACTAACAACTTGGTAGTCAATGGAAAAAAAATTCACATAAATAGAAGGAAAAAATAATGTTTTAATGTAATTCTTAGATAATCATCATTATTGAAGGGGCAAGTGTGCCCATTAGGCAATGTACCACTTCTCAAACTTTGGAACCAGATTGGATACTGTCACCCTCATTCCCCATTCCACATTGGCAAGAATATTTCATACATATTGTTCACATTCCATCATAGCAGCATAACAGGAGGTATGGAATTTTCCCATGACTAGTGATAACAGGTTGGATCACGGCTGGATGATGACAGCCAGATCTTTTATAAACTCCATTATGGGCTGGGCGCGGTGACTCACGCCTGTAATCCTAGCACTCTGGGAGGCCGAGGCGGGTGGATCGCTCAAGGTCAGGAGTTCGAGACCAGCCTGAGCAAGAGTGAGGACGCCCCCCCATCTCTACTAAAAAAATAGAAAGAAATTACTTGGACAGCTAAAAATATATAGAAAAAAAAAAATTAGCCGGGCATGGTGGCGCATACCTGTAGTCCCAGCTACTCGGGAGGCTGAGGCAGAAGGATCCCTTGAGCCAAGGAGTCTGAGGTTGCTGTAAGGTAGGCTGACGCCACGGCACTCTAGCCCGGGGCAACATGGTGAAACTCTGTCTCAAAAAAAAAAAAGAAAACTCCATTATGAAACTACATTTTCCCCTAGGTAAGCTACAGAGTAGTAATTTTTTACTAAGTGAGTTTCCTCTTCAACAGTCTTTTCACTTAATGGTTTCAGCATCTGTTGATGATCCTGGCCTGAATCAATTTTTTCATTGGGTTGCAAAGGACGTTTTTCTAATTCCATCATTCATTCTGTGTTTATTAGTTGGCATTCTTCATCAAAGAACTTTCCCTTACTAACTGCGATGAACTATAATTTCTCCTTGAAAAGAAGGACAGGCCGGGCGCGGTGGCTCACGCCTGTAATCCCAGCACTCTGAGAGGCCGAGGCGGGTGGATCGCTCAAGGTCAGGAGTTCGAGACCAGCCTGAGCAAGAGCGAGACCCCATCTCTACTAAAAAATAGAAAGAAATGATCTGGACAACTAAAAATAT